ATTCTTGAATTAGCAGTAGCAGCAACAGCAGTAGTGGCAAGGGGAATCCACCCTAGATTTATATAATCAGGAACTCTGGTGGTTGGGTTGTGGCCAGCAATCTGTGTTTTAACTTGTCTGCTCAAGTTTGAGAACCACTGCCTTAGAGATACTTGGAGCTAATCATAGTAGTGTTGAGTTGAAACTGATGTTAAATATAAATGCTACTATTTTTAGGTCTTAAGAAGAGCTTTTGTGTCTGTGACTCTTCTCTAGGTTAGTTTAGAAACTACCTGATATAAGCCCAAAGTGCCAATCAGAAGTGCCGTAATACTAGGCCTAAATGAAGCAATGAAAAAATAATTGCTAAAGATAGTCAAAGATAATTATTATTAGTTTACTCTTATTATGCATGAAACACAATAAGAATGTCATTTAAAGAAGATACTAGGGCTGGGGATGTGGCTCAAGCAGTAGCACGCTCACCTGGCATGCACGGGGCGCTGGGTTCGATCCTTAGCACCACATAAAAATAAAGATGTTATGTCCACCGAAAACTGAAAAATAAATATTAAAAAAAAGAAGATACTAGTATCCTTCAGAATATTGAAAATATTTGGACTTGTGGGACACTAGTGAAGCCAGATTTTAAAGATAGGTCGTTAGTGTAGTTAGGTAAATTGGGTCTAATATGGAGTAAAATCAAGAATGAAGGCCATATTGAGAATATAGAGTCCAGGAAAGTTCAAAGTTCTTTAAAACACAGCTCAAAGGGATGTTAAGAGGTGAGAACAGAAAAGCTGGCGGTCTTTATGTGGCACTCAAAAGTCCCCAAGGCCTGGAGCCCATCCCAAGGAAATGTTAATGAAGCAGCTCTCAGCAAACAAAGAGTTGCTAATCCAAACGCCCTTCCTGCCCAGGTTACTACCCGCCCATCTGTCCCCCACCTTTTGGGCCTTCCCACGTACATTCCACCACAGCAAGATAATAGAACAAAGGACAGGAATGCACGCGACAGGAATGCGGGAAATCTGAAAGTAAACCTTAGGTATAAAAAAGGGAAGACCTCCTCCTTCCATGGATTCCACCTCTTGGGTCCCCTTCTTCCTCCAGGGAGAAATCTTTTCTACTGTCCTTTAATAAAGTTTCAACTTTCCACTCTAAACTTGCCTCGGCGTGCTTCTCTGGTATTATACTTCAGCATCGGGGAAGTAAGGACTCGCGACTGGTAAACAGAGGTAACACCAGAAGACCCTGACAATATGAGGGGAAAGATGCTGGAAAAGAAGGCACAACTGAAAGAAGACCTGGGGGAAGTTGCATAATTGCTCTAAGTCACTTACTTGTTCTGCTCTGACACTGACCAGAAGTCCTAAAATGATTTTGCTGGAATGAATGGGAGAGTGTTTGGGACATCTATCCAATAAAACTTTGAATTAGATACACATTGAGATTTAGATTTGTGTTCATGTAACAGAAAACACAATATAATAGTGGTCTAGTCACTGATTTATCATTCATATAATAGAAATCTGAAGGTTGGTAGTCCAAAGACTTGTGTGTCAGCTCCACAGTTTTCAGGAACTCTTTTTTTTCAGTGCTGGGATCAAAGCCAAGGCCTCATCCATACTAAGCAAGCACTCTATCACTAAGCTACACTCCCAGCTTAAAGAACCTTGACTCTTGTCTTTTTGTTTAATGATTCTTAATTATGGCTTTTATTTTCAAGATATTACCTCATGGTAAATAAGACAGCAGCAACTCCAATCATCACAGAAGAGCAAAAGGGCAAAAAGGTACACACCCTGATTGTGTGTATCCTTTCAGATAGTCTTCCTGGAAATCAAATATAATATAATGCATTCCATTGGCCAGAATTTAGTTACATTAGCCAGTCTTAATTGGAAAGGAATCCTTAGCTGAGGCTGGCTTTGAACTTGCCATTCTCCTGCCTCAGCCTCCTGAGTCGGCTAAGATTATAGGAGTGCACCATCACACTTGGATCAGAAATCTTAAAGATTAGATTGTCCCTTATATTTATTTTGAAACCCAAACAGCTCCCAATATGTGTTGTTTCAAAATGAAACAATTTTAACACCACTTTTGCTTAATCCTTATGCTAGTTACTTCAGGGAAATGGAATATCTGAATAATTTCACTTGACAGAGGATAATGTTACCAGAAATCTGGCAGGGGAAATTCTGTTTAAAAAACAAATCCATGGCCAGGCGTGGTGGCTCCTGCCTGTAATCCCAGAGGCTGGGGAGGCGGAGGCAGGAGGATCTCCAATTCAAAGCCATCCTCAGCAATTTAGCAAGTTGAGTTGCTAAGCAACTCAGTGAGACCCTGTCTCTAGTAAAATACAAAATAGAGCTAGGGATGTGGTTCAGTGGTTGAGTGCCCCTGAGTTCAATCCCTGGTATCCCAAAACAAAAATTAAAACAAAACAAACAACAACAAAAAACAAAAACAAAAACAAAAAAGCCCCAAATCCATTCTGATTGTTTTTGAAAAAAAATTTTTTGAATTTGTGATCCATGATCTTATACAATTACACACGTACAGGAAAAGAAAGATGACATCAAGGCAAGCTTGACTAGTTGTTCCAGTCGCTAGAAGACATTTATTCATTCAGTGTTTATAATTAAAATGAGTGTTGCTCATATAGTGATCTGATTTTACAACATATAGTGCTTCAGATTTGATCCCTGATATAAAAAGAAACAACAAAACCCCCACCAAACTCAAGCTGTAAGTGTAGATTTTTGAAAAATTAAACTTGATTGTCATTATAACAGAGCCATGTCACTAATTAAAGCCAAATTTTTACATCGCTTGAAAACATGGAATTGAAATTCATAACAGAATAACAAAGCATATGGGAAAGGAAGAAGTCACCAGTGAGATAATTTCACATAAACAATATGTGATATTAATTTAAGAATCAATGTACTTTAAATAATGGCATCAGACATGACTAACAGAGTAGAATCCGGAAATTCAGACAGGACATCTAGCTTTGGAAAGTGAGGCATAAACAGGAATGGGGATAGGGTAGTAACAGAAACTTTCACGGGTCTTAGAATTAAGGGATCTCTAGTTGCTTTAGCACCCAAAGGATGTGTTAACTCATTTTAAAAACAGCTTTATTGGGCTGGGGTTGTAGCTCAGTGGTAGATTGCTTGCGATGCATGTGTGAGGTACTAGGTTGAATCCTCAGCACCACATAAAAGTAAATAAAATAAAGAAATTGTGTCCAATACAACTAAAATACTTTTAAAAAACAGCTTTATTGAGATACTTTACATAATCACAAATGTCACCCATAGGAAATATACAGTGATTTTTAGTAAATTCAGTGCTGTGCAATTGTCAACCTCAATCTAACATAGTTTTTCAAGTTTTTTTCTGGGGTACAAACCATTTATCTTTCTTGTATAAAGGTACATGGTGACTCAATAAAATCACAGAGCAAGTATCAAGGATTCAAAGATGACTCACTGAAATTGTGTGTAATAGACATGTGCAGGCAGCTGCTGTGCTGAAACCACAGGGATAAAGAGAGGAAGGGTGCTGAGCAATGGTTACCAGCCAGCCTTAGTGTCAGACTGCTGGAGTTCTGCTTCTGTCATCCTCACTTAATCAAGGGAATTACTTAACTCTCTGAGCTTCCTTTTACTTATCTGTTGTAAAATAATAGCACCCTATTTCATGAGATTATGAAGACTAGATGAAATAATATATGCAATGGGCTTCATATAGTCTCTCATATAGTAAGTATTCAATTAAATTAAGTACTTTTATAATTTTTACTGGATGACTATTAAATAACATTTCATAAACTAGACACAAAGGATCACATACGGTGTGATTTAATTTCTATGAAATTCTCGAAAAGGGAAAGCTGGTGCCAGAAGAATGATCAATTGCCAAAGGCTAGGGAGGAAGGGTAGGAAATTGACTGCAAAGCATCACCAAGAATTTTTTGGAATATTCTACCTTGTGATTGGAGTGGTGTTTTGTGAACATTTGTCATGGAATTACACCCTTTAACTTAGTGAACTTTGTTGTATGTCAATTAAAACCGATCCCCCTAACCCTAAAAATATAGCTTTTAATTTTCCAATTGAATAGTTCAGTTGTTTTATAGGTCAGAAGCAGGAATCAATTCTAAACACTGCCAACTATGTGCAAGGCATAGTTCTAAGTCTGAGGAACGGTCTTAAAGAAGACAGTATCTCTACCCCCATGGAGCTTTTTCAAGCACGAATTATACACATAGATTTGAAATTAAAAAAGGAATCATTGAGGATACTGGTAGAATAATCTGGGGGTGCGGGGAGACAGAGTAGCTGTAAGTTATTTAAATCTCTATCCCGTTTTTTTTTTTTTTTTAATTTCAAACATGCACAGAAGGAAACAGAGTTTCTCCATTAAAAGAGAATGCACTGGACATAGTATCTGGGCAGGTGTGTGTCAGAGGCCTCTCAGTATACGGTGACCCAAGGTTGTCCCCTGCGGACACCACCGGAGAGACGCAGTGCCCACAGAGAAAGGGAAATACACTGGCACCAGACCAAGGTCCAAGAGGAACTCTTCCACGGGCCCCAGGGGCCCCATGACCTTGGCAGTGTGAGCTCCGCACTCTCCGGGGTCCCGGCGTGCGCCAGCCCTCCGCAGGGGAAATGCTGCCCGTATCCTTGGGATACTTTCCCAGAGGCCGGGCCAGATTCACCGCCCTCTCCGCAGGGTGAGTCCGCCCACTAGAGTGACTGGTTGGGGAACGGAGGCGAGTTGCGGGAACCGGATTGGCTGCTCCGCATGCGGAGGGCGGGGAGATGCATGTGAGGGGCGGAGCTAGTGGAGAGCTGGCGGCCGTCGGCGTTCGCTCGGGAAATGGATGCTCCGCTGGTCCGCCAGCGCCGGGGGCGGGGAAAGCACGCGCTCCGGTGTGCGCGCCCCGCCCAGGAGTCGGCGGGAGCGCCCTCCTGCTCCTTCCTCTCTCACCAGCCCTTGGTTAAGCACCCAGCGAAGAAGTAGAGTACCTTATAAGTTTCTTGCTTGGTATTTGGGCGGCCGCAGCCGAGAAAGGAACATGGCGCTTGTAGGCAGCCGAGTGGAGCTGGAAGCTGATGAGGTACTAGCGATGGGCAACGCGGGCGCTACCCCTGGAGCCCGCACCCGGGCGCGGGAGGGATGGGCGAGCCCCGCTTGGGGTGGCTGAGGTCCCGCCCCCTGGGTCTGGGTCGGGGACCTGCCGGCTCCCGCTGTGGCTCTGAGGTAGGGGAAGGGGAGGGGGCTGGGTGCGGGCATCTGGCCTTGGCAGTCTCTTCCTTTCGGGACAGGAGGGACCTTGCGGTGTGCCTGCAAGGGGATGTTGAACCCCGAGTTTGGCCCCGGGACGTGTGGGTGCGAATAAGCGGGAGCGTAGGACCTGGAGCTCGGAGCTGTTCAGAGCCTTCCCGTGGACTCCCGGGCTTTCCAAAGTAGGACCCCGAAGTCCTGACACTAGCCTTCTGGGGTTCTGGACTTGGGAATCTCGCCTTCTATGGAAGTTTCCTGGTGGCAGAACTGAAGGGCTTACGTTCGATGGAAAGAGAGGGCAGCCAGAGGAAAAAGGAGCCGAGGGACATCTGCCAGAACGGCCAGGGCTGCTGGAGGAGCTAACCCCCCAGGCAGTGATGCTTCTTGCTTTTGCTACGGTGCCGGGACACTTCCTTAAGTGAAGGACCTTTAAGAACTGTCAGTGGCCTTCGTTGGTCTCAACTATTTGATTAGCCACTTCTTCTTGTCGCTGCGCACCTGGGGCTGAGCACTCTGCGGCCCTGCGGCAGGCGCGCAGGACCTGTTGATTTACTGACAGTTCCTTTCAGCGCTTGCCACCTCCAGAGAAAGCGCTGTCTTGCTCTTGAAGTTGAAGTTGAGGCTCCTGCGGCAGCAGCAGGAACTGCAAAGCCCCTCAGCCGAGGCTTCTGCCATTTTACCTGACTTGAATTTTACAAGTCGCTGCCTAAGAAGGGTTCGGTTTCAAATGATGCAATAGTGGATGACCTGGAGGAGGCGGGATAAGATTTCTGTCCATCTCTTTAATGCTTGCAAACTCCAGAAAACTAACCGATACTATGCTTCAAATGTGGGCCTAACAACAAAAACAGAATTACAGTACCTTTGCACAACTGGTAGAGAAGAGGGCCAGCACGATGTCCAGAACTTTGCTTACATTTTCACAGTTCTTTGACCATAATTCATTTCTTCCTCAGTGTTTTTTTGGTTCCTGATTGTATATTACATTAAATATCCATGTTCCTGGCATGCAAATCTCTCCACAGTATGATCTCAATTGTTTATCTCAGGTTCGTCCTCAACTGTCTCCCTGAATATAATCATTTAGTTAAATCATATTTTAAACAAGGAAGAAAGACTGGGAGTAGTTAGTAAATGTGAAGTGAAATTTCTGAATCCTGGGCTGCTTGTCCAAAAAGATTTGCTGTGTTTAGGGTGGGACTATGGCTCTATAGACAGGACCCTGTTAATAATTAGATTGGAACAATAGGTGTAACCTGGGACTGTTCTAGCATAGTGAGGCATGTGGTAACTCAAGCTGTACTCATTACCTACAAGATGAACCAAAGTGTTGAAATGTGTGAACTGGTGGGGAGTGCTCTAGCTCTGTTGGGGGAAATAGGTTTCAGAGCAGTAGAGTCTGGCACAAAGACAGTTGGTATATGTTTGTTGAATGAATGAATGAATGAATGACTATAGAAAAGATGTTGCTTGGTAATGTCTCAGTTTTTGCTAAACAATTTGTTCATTAACTATTAGATTCCTATTTATTACATGCCAGGTACTGTGCTAGTCCTAGGAGATAGCAAGTACAAACAGAACTCATTGTTAATGCCAAATCCACTTTTGCCCCTCATATTGTATTTTATCTGTTAGTATAAATGTACCAAGCATTTATTGGTCATTTGCTCTGTGCTCAAACTTGGTAGGTGCCTTAGAAAAATAAGACGCAATTTTGGCTCTTTAGGATTCTCAGTCAGGGTAGAAAGATATGACCTATGTAAAAAAAACTTTAGAAAATAGCTCAAGGCAGGGTGAGCAAGTAAGAAGTAGGGTGCTGTAGACTGAGTATTCTTGACTTTTTTTGGTAAAAGATTTCTAATTGTAAATGGACTGAAGAACTCATCATACTCATGAGTAAGACCCTGTTCTTCAATTTTCAGGGCGTATAATATGAAAATAGCTATTTTATTTATAAGCTGCCTTGCTTATATCTATCTGGCCTTTAGTGGTTTTTGTGTGTGACTTAAATTTGAGGGTTAGATAAAAGTTTACATGTTACTATTTAATTCTGTTAAAGTAGTCAGCATTTTCTCTTCGTCATTTGATAATAATTAAATGCTTAAAAAAGAAATTCATTCTCTTAAGAAGAATGCTGTTTTTATCACCATTATATGATACTCTTGAGAAGTAAAAAGGGACAAAGTCGAAAGTTGGAAAAGTATTATGTTTGGAATTAGGTAAACTGGGCTCTCAGCTCTCTTTACCCCATAGTCATTCACTATTATTATATGTACATTTATGGAGACTAATTTGCTCCATAGTCATTGAATCATTTATATGTGGAGACATCTGATTATCCTAGGTGCCAAGCCCTGTTCTAGCCTGGAGATATAACAATGAATAAGATAGACAGACCCTGCCAAGACTAGTTTTTTTTTTTTTTTTTTTTTAAATATTTATTTAGTTGTAGATGAACACGTCTACAACTATTTATTTTTTATATGGTGCTGAGGAGTGAACCAGTGCCTCACATGCGAGGCAAGCACTTTACCACTGAGCTACAGCCTCAGCCCTGTGACTAGTGATCTTGATTGAGCAAGTCTGTCAACCTCTAAGGATTCTTTCAGTTTCCTCAACTGAAAATAGTTAGGCTAGAGAACTCTAAGTTTCTCTCAGCTCTAAAAATCTATGCTTTTGTGTGTGTGTGTGTGTGTGCGCGCGCGCATGTGTTTTGAAGGGGATGGAGAAGGGGGCTTTATGTTTTGGGAGAAAGGCTAATAATATGGAAATCAATGGGAGCACTGAGGTTAGGACTTGTATCCTCAATGGGAGCAAAAATTTGATTCTTGAAGGGGACAAAATATCTTAGATATTATAATGTTTTGGGTTCTTCAAAGCTCAATCAACAAAATCCTTTTAACATTTTTATTTTTCTCACCTGTTTTTCCTTAGTATTATATGAGCAACATTGACATCAAGTTCATGGAAAATATACAGATGTGTGCAAGGTCAATACAACAAATTCCTGGCAAATTATCAGATGGCTATCATTAGAGGACATTCTATCAGTTGCTTGATCATATCTTAATTGGTGACTTTAGTTGGCTGCCATCAGTTGCATTGTGGATATGGCTTACATTTGGCCCTCAGTTTCTTTTTTTTTGTTTGTTTAAAATAATTTTTACTTTAATTTTTAATTTGCATGACATGAATTCCTAATTTACATAATAAAAGAGAAGTAAGAAATTATTTACTTGGAGAAAGAAAACCTTTCTTTTTTAAATAAATTTTTTATTCTAATTTGTTATATATGACAGCAGAATGCATTACAATTTATATTACACATATAGAGCACAATTTTTCATCTCTCTGCTTGTATAGAAAGTATATTCACACCATTCGTGTCTTCTTCATACATGTACTTAGGGTAGTGATGTTCATCTCATTCCACTATCTTTTTTTACCCCTCTGCCCTATCTACAGTTTGTCTAATCTTCCCATGCTCTCCCTCCCAACCCCACTGTGAATCAGCCTCCTTGTATCATAGAAAATATTCGGCATTTGGTTTTTTGGGGATTGGCTTACTTCACTTAGCATTATATTCTCCTGGCTCTCAGTTTTTTTTTGTGTGTGTATATGTGTGACTTGAGATTTGAGGGTTAAATGAAAATAGTTTATATTTTATTTAATTCTATAAAATATTCAACATTTTCTCTTTTCAGTATTGACAATAATTATTTTAAACATAATATTATGGTGAAACATAATATTGACCATACTTGAATGAATAACTAGTAGCTAGTTAAATTTAATATTATTTTATCATGTAAACCAAAAGTTCACTAAATTAACTTATTCTTTATTTATGTATGTATTTTGTGATATTGGGGATTGGATCCAGGGCCTTATGTGTGCTAGTTTAGGGCTCTACCACTGTGCTACATTCCTAGTCCCTAAAATAGGTTTTGAATTTTATTTTTTAAATTGGTATTGGGAATTGAACCTGAAGTACTTTACTACTGAGCCACATCCGTAGTTCCTTTTATTTTGTATTTTGAGACAGGGCCTAACTAAGTTCCTGAAGCTGGCCTTGAACTTGAAGTTTCCTGCCTCAGCCTTCCAAGTTGCTGGGATTACAGATGTGGTCCAGTTAGCTTTTGATTGTTGTTAAAAAAAAAAAAAAATGGTTATATAGTTACATGAATTAGCAAATTGCATATATGATTTAATACATTTTAAATTGTTAGTAAATTCTTGAAAGGTTAAATGTTAATATCTTTAAAGTTTTGAATTTGACATTTACAATTTTTATTTAGCTATTCTGAATCTATTCTGAATAAAAGCTCTACTTATTAATTTTATGTATAGAATATGTATGTTATTAAAATTTCAGGGGGAGGTGCAATTAGGAAAATAAATATATAAACACTCCTTAGGGAAGTGATGATGAAGAAAGGTTGAGAAACACTGAGGGAAAGAAATTGCTTATGTGACAGATGCTTTCATGGACTGCTTTACTTGTTTATTTCTTTTTTTGAGATAGGGTCTTGCTATGTTGTCAGGCTAATCTCTAACTCCTGGATTTAAACAATCCTCTTACCTCAGCCTTTTAACTAGCTGAGACTATAGTCATGGGCCACTGTGCCTGACTTCATGGCTCCCTTTTTGGTCCAGGATATTTAAAATCTAATTCTGATCTAGAAATTTTTTCCCTTTAAAGTTTAGATGAAGGCTTTGTTTTTTTTGAGGCAGGCCTGGCTAAATTGCCCATACTGGCATTTAACTCACCGTCTTTCTGCCTCTGCCTCAGCCTGAGGAGTAGCTGAGATTATAGGCTTACTCCTGTCTGGA